TTCACAGGGGCTTGACGTCAGCACCTGCGCTAAACTACGATGGTCCGCGTGGTGCCTTTTTCCAAGAGCTACATGCTGCGCTCCACGAGCTCGAGCTCTTTTGAGCGCCCAGTGACGAATGCTCCAAGCCACGTGCACTCACCCTCCCGAGGTCGTCCTCGCACACACAACACCCGAGCACTCGGACACAGCCCACGCTCGAAGCCCCGCGACTCGATACTTCAACCCTTGCGAAACCTGCAAACCTGCAAACCCGCGAAACCCGCGAAATCGCACGACACACCAGTCTAGAATCTGATCGTCCCACCGACCTAGCCCCTCGTCGTACCCAGCGGCACTCGGACGGCAGCAGCGGAAGCATACGCCATAAACAGACTGTCGGACAGCACCTGCCTTTTGCTTTACCAGACGAGCCGACCGAGGAAGGCCTCGTACGCGGGATGACCATCTGAACGGCCGTACTGCATACATTTGCCAAGTCATTCCCAAGAGTGCTGCGACATACAGCACGCTCTCTCCCGCTTCCCGCCTCTCAAAGGGAACTTTTGCCGCCACCGCGCCAAAACCATGGCTTCGGTGCTGAGGCGCAGGTCTGCTCCAGCGGGCAAGCCTGTCGACGTACAGCCCGCCGACATTCCTTTACCCGAAGATCATGACCTGACAGACACGGAAACACGGGTCCATATCATCACAAAATCGAAGACCCGGAAACGCCGGACTACGTTCATATTCTTCTTGGGAAGTCTGTTCGGAATAATTGCGGCAGGCTACCTCGCAAAGGACAGCGACCTGATCGACTTCCTTCCGGAACTCAACGATCTGACCATGGACAGCTTCTTTGATGTGCTGCCTGCTGGGCTAGTCATGGATCTGAGGGAGCTAATCAATGGTGAGCGCGAATTTACACAGAGCTACGAGGCTTTCACTATTGGTGCGAAGGCTCGAGAGGACGGACTCGAGGTCCATCATCCGGTGATCATGGTCCCTGGAGTCATCTCCACGGGACTCGAGTCATGGGGCACGGCGAACGTCTCGCGATCGTACTTTCGGAAGAGGCTATGGGGCAGTTGGTCTATGATGCGCGCGCTCGTGTTGGACAAGGAGAACTGGAAAAACCACATCATGCTAGACAAGCAGACAGGACTCGACCCTCCAGACATCAAGCTGCGCCCAGCGCAAGGCTTCGATGCGGCCGATTTCTTCATCACGGGCTACTGGATCTGGAACAAGATCATCGAGAACCTTGCTTCGCTAGGCTACGACCCAAACACCTCCTTTACGGCGGCATACGACTGGCGACTGTCGTACCAGAACCTGGAGACGCGCGACAGGTACTTCACCAAGCTCAAGACTCATATCGAGCTGTCCAACATTGCTACTGGCAAGAAGGCTGTGCTTATCTCTCACAGCATGGGCAGCCAGGTCGCTTTTTACTTCTTCCACTGGGTGGCTTCCGAGACTGGAGGCAAGGGCGGGCAGGACTGGGTTGAGCGCTACGTGGATTCGTGGATAAACATCAGCGGCTGCATGCTGGGCGCCATCAAGGACATCCCGGCGCTGCTGTCTGGGGAGATGCGTGACACTGCCCAGCTCAATCCTTTCGCAGTATACGGTCTCGAGAAGTTCCTGAACAAGGACGAGCGCGCAGAGTTGTTCCGTGCCATGCCCGGCATTTCGTCCATGATTCCCATGGGAGGCGACGCGGTCTGGGGCAACTTGACGTGGGCGCCAGACGACCAGCCTGGCCAGATCCACTCGTATGGCTCGGTCCTCAACTTCCGCAAGGAGCTCAACGGCACCATACCGGATAGGAACCTGACAGTGTCTGGAGCTCTGGACTATTTGAAGAAGACGACAGAGGACTGGTACCAAGATCAGCTGCGCGGCAGCTACTCACACGGCGTGGCGCAGACCTCTGCGGAAGTCAACGCGAACGAGCTTGATGATCGGAAGTGGACCAACCCGCTCGAAACTAGGCTGCCCCTGGCGCCGAGCCTCAAGGTGTACTGCTTCTATGGCGTCGGCAAGCCTACGGAGCGAGCATACTACTACCGCGCTCCGGAGTTCCCAGAGCTCACGAAGCTCAATGTCACCATAGACACGGGCATGGTCCAGGGTGAGGTCGACCGTGGCGTTATCCTCGGCGAGGGCGATGGCACGGTTCCTCTGCTAAGTTCCGGGTACATGTGCTCGAAAGGCTGGCACATGAAGAGGTACAACCCGGCTGGTGCAAAGATTACAGTCGTGGAGATGCCTCACCAGCCTGACCGCTTCAGCCCGCGAGGCGGCGCTAACACGGCAGAGCATGTCGATATTCTAGGCAGGCAAAACTTGAACGAGTTGATCTTACAAGTTGCTGCCGGCCAGGGGCACACGATTGAGAACCACATCATCAGCAATATCCGCGAGTATGCGGACAAGGTCAAGATTTATGAGGAGCCGTGAACGAGCAACATCGCTTCTGTGGCGGAGAAGTAAGGGAATAGAGGGTATCTGGGTCGGTGTTTAGGCGAATTCAATAGTTTTGGATATCCAAGTTTTTGTCTGAGCAGCACTACGTGTGGGGTTGGCTTGTACATACATTTTCGTAGAGGAGGGCCAATTGGGTCTATATGACCGAAGGGGGTTTCATTCTTCAGCGTGAGCAGTGTATCTCCTGAATGAGAGAGAAATCAGATACTCTGGCATTCGTGCAAGATTTTGTGTCCGTGGCTGCATCGAAAGCCCAGTTGAGAATTGCAGAAGTATAGAGCCATCGCGCTGATCTTTCCGGTGTACACGGCAAATTTAACCAACAGGGACAGAGGAATTTTGGAAGCCAGATGTTGTGTCCTGTCTTGATATATCCATGCGGCCAACACCCTGGAAAGGCTCGTGATGTGCGCGCGACGGACCCACTAAACCGAACGTCGCGTTCTCAAACTTCACCTTGTGCACAGCTTTTTCAACCATACGTCACCGGACGAGACCTTCGAGGTGAAAGCAACACAGAGTCCATCAGTTTTGAAAGCTGACTTCTCGCAATTGGACAACCCGAGGGAAACAAGCTGCCAACCATGGAGAAGTCGGGAAAGAGAAAAGGCGGGCCAAGCAATGGCTCGCACGGAGGCTCGCAGCCAAAGCGCAGCAAGGTGCGTCAACAGACCAATGTGATCCTGCATTACTCGTCTTTCATACGAGCGGGGGAGAGCGCACACACCCAGCCACACACACGCATACACACACATAGACGTCCAATGCACAAAATGGAAGGTTGAAGATGACCAAGACGCTGATCACTCCAGGGGAGACAGGGCGGCAGCGGCAACAAGTGGCAGACGCCGAGCCAGCGCGAGAAGCTGGACTCGCTGCGGACGCTACAGGTCGGTGACGTCGGCGTGTGGGTGACGTGCCAGCGCGGCAAAGAGCGGCAGGCGCGAGCCGAGATGGCGCGGATCTGTGACGATGTGAGTTCGCGCATGTTTGGGTTTCGCTTGCCCGATCTTTATCTTTCCCTTCCCTTCGCTCTGTGTGGGATCAGCTGTGCCTGAAGGTGCGCGGATCTCAAAGCTCGCCTTGCCGCAGACACAGCATAAGGAGAGGACGGGATAGGGGGAATCTCATGGGAGAGAGTACCGATCGACTGATAAACCGGAACAGTACGGCAAGAAGCTCTACAACATCGACCCACCAGATGAGCACGCCGAGGCGGGCAACGACGACGAGGAAGGCGGCGCGGAAGACGACATCGAGGCGTCGATCCAGAGGGAGCTCGAGGGCATGAAGCCCGCGAACCGGCCCAAGGACCCGCCATTCGAGACCGTCCGGTCCGGGCTTGACTGCCTCTTCTTCCTGCGGACGAGGCCGCCCGTGGACCCCATCGAGCTGGCACGTCAGATCTGTCTCGACGCGGCGAAGCCGGCGGTGGTGGCGGTGCCCAAGGAGGGCGGGGATGCCGGTGACGATGCCGGGATCAGGGGCGGCGCGACGGCGATCGGGATATCGAGGTTCGTGAACCGCTTCACGCCCGTCACCGTGCTGGGCCGGGCGACGGAGAAGAACCTCGACGAGCTCGCGCGGCAGGTCCTGGCGGAGCACTTCCGGCTCGCCGGCGACGACGGCGACGGCGACGACGACAGCAAGCCGGAGAACGGCGACGGGTCGAGCGAGAGCGCGCCTCCGCCGCCGCCGCCGTCGTCGTACGCCATCCGCCCCACGTTCCGCGCGCACAACCTCCTCAAGCGGGACGACGTGATCAAGAAGATCGCCTCGCTCGTCGACGTGCGGCACAAGGTCAACCTGACGAGCCCGGACAAGGTCGTGCTGGTGGACATTTACCAGACCTTCTGCGGGATGAGCGTGGTGCCGGGGGACTGGGAGTCGCTGAAGCGGTACAACATCCACGAGCTGAAGATGGCTGCCGCGGGGGTCAAGAAGGATGGGGCGGCGGAGGCCAAGGGTGATGCGTACAGGAAGGCCAAGGCGGAGAGCAAGGGCGAGGGGGAGCTCTGAAAAAGGGGGTACCGGTTGGACGTTCATATCATACATGTATATACAGGTTTTACGAATGCCAACGTGTACGGTCTGGTAAAGCGGCATGCTCCAACTTGATTGAGCCCCGACATGGTGATTGCAGTCGTGCATTCACTAATGCTACAAGACTGGATTCGAGAGTTTCCCATCTCTCCGTGTTTGGTCCGAATCCGATAGATCCAGAAGGCCGCGATTCAAATAATACGAAGAGCACAACGATCAGAGACCGAAGAGATCGAAGGAGCTACTCAGAGCAAGTGGTAGAGAACTCTAGTCAAGACAATAGAGAGACCATCTGCATAGCGGAGAGTCTTGTTCTTCAACTGGTGGAACTCCTGACATGCTCTGTCCGCCCGACCCAAACCCGAGTCGGAGATCAGCTTCGGGTGCTTTCCAGCATGACAAAAAGCGAGTTTTTTGACGGTCCTCGGGTAGTTCATTAGTTAAGAAGCGCAAAAAGATGATCTGAGCAAGATATCCTAGGTATTTCCCTCGGACCGGGGTCGAACCGGTGACATTCAGATACCAATATTGTATACAATGACAATTACAGTCTGACGCGATAACCACCTACACCACCAAGGGAGGATCGGGTTGAGGGACAGTTTGACTGTCCGTCAAGGGTCGTTGGCGGCACTGTGCTTATAGCAGGTCCTGGATGCTTGTCAAGCGGATGGGCTCGGTATTGCTGCTGCTGCTGCTGTTGGGGATTCTAGTTACCGGAGATCACTGAAGAGGACAGGGAACTTGTGAGATCATCAGCTACGGATTCCCTACCTAGACTGGGACCATCGCTTTGTTCACAATGGGGGGACGAGCAGGGGAGACCGAGGAGACCAAAGAGTCACGCATCCTCCCTCGGAACGTGTGCAGTGTTGGGATAGAGATGTCCACGTCAAACCATGAACAGTTATTGGACCCCTCTTGCCAACCACCGATAGGTGGAGAATGGATCTCTTGGTGATACGAAAAGTGATAACAGGGTTCCTTTCTGCACCTGCGAACTGTCCGTCAGTGGTGGATGAGCTGTCCGGTGAGAGGTCTGGTGCATTCCAAAAGAAACGAGTAGCGAGAGACAACAGACGTCGGGACCAAGCTCATGTGATGAGGATGGTGTTACGACTGGCGTGTCGTGGATAAGATGGTGGTTGAAACAACGTGGGCGGCGCATGGTCTGCGCTAGAGTAGCGCGTCCATTTTGGGATCTCCCAACTCGATGAAGCACACGGGGCACACGCCTGAGCAGCGCTGTCATGGCAGCAATCATTCAGATCGGGTGCTGCCATGAATGGCGTTTTGAATGAGCAAGCGGAGTCTCTGAGCATGTCCGGGCAACGTTACGTCGAGGCCAAGGGAAGAAGCGAGCGGTGACGCTGTTTGGGTAGTTTTACCTGGAAGCAACCGGAAGACGAGCTTGAGCTCAGACCTGAGAGCCGTCAGCGCATGGCTGACATGGCCCCCAAGACAAGTTAAGCGAAACTGCATATGCCGGGCAGGGCACCCTGACGGTCTGGGCAGGTGGGCCCTGGGCCTCTGGGTGTGATGGCTGTCGGTGAACTTCCAGAAGCCACGACGAACGACGGGCCACCTAGGCCCAATTGGGACAAATTTGACGAGGTGCCGATGCTTGATGCGTCAGGCACCCGGACGTGAGACGGGTCCCAAGGGGGCCAGCCGGGCCAGCACCACCACAGCACCAGCGCCCGCCATGCTGTCCGCGACCTGGTGATGGCTGTTTGACGAGCCGACAGTCGGGGTCGCTCACCCCGGCGCGGCGGGCCTTGCAGGGTCGCGGGCACCCTCTGCGATGCACCGCCGTTGCTGGCTGGCGTTGCAGAGGCGTCGCGGACGGCCTGGAGGGATGGAGGGATGGAGGGATGGAGGCATGGAGATGGCAAAGGCCAAAGGGCATTGCGAGCAGCAGTTCCCCTTCCGGCCGACTCGCTTAGGGCAGGCCAATCACGACCCCGGGCCCTCGCTTGCCCTGGCAGCATGAACCGGCCCCAGGGTTCCAAGGTTGCTTGCCTGGAGCCTGCCTGGAGCCCGGGGCAGCCTGGACGGGCCTGCCTTTGCCACGGATTCCGTCAATCACCACTGGGCTGCATCTCCCGGTCCCTTCACCATCATCGGCCCTTTTGGCCGTCTCTGCAGCTCTTGGATGGCGCCAGTCTCGGGCCCCTCCCAATCACCACAGCAGTCAGACTCAAGCTGAACAGCCAGCACCCTCCCTCTGCCCAGTCCGCGGCCCGCCTGCCGGTCCAGCGCCGTGCCCATTGGCAGCTCTTGACCTCGCCGTGGCTTCCACCTCCAGGCCGACGCATGCCGCCAGTTCAGCCGCTCGATGCTAGCTCTGCCATGGCGCCGCCCTGCCCCATGGCACGCAAAAAACATGTCGCCCTTCCAGAACATGACGTCTCGGCTCGCCAGCCGGCGGCCAACGCTACCTCGACGTATACTCCGTACTCCGGCCTATATCCAGCCGCCTCCTCCGCATGATCCACCCCGTCTCGCTTGCCTCGATGCTTGTTTGGTCCGCCCGGCCTCGGATCGCCTGCCACCTGTGCCTCGTCCGCGCTAGCCTGGGACGCGCGCGTCTTGTCTTCGTCTATCTTGTCCTGCTATAGGCGCTGGCGCTCGGCCCCGGGAGGCCCACCCCAGATATTTGTTGTGCAATGCCATGGTCATACGTACCTACAATAAGCTCCGTGTTGTCTTGTCATGGTGCCCTGTCCCTGGACACTGATGCTCTCCATGTCACGCCTGAGACCCTTGGCTTGGTCGTCGGGAGCTCATCTCGACTTCGCTTGCCATTGCCTCATGCACACTCGGCCAGCAATTCTCCCAGCAATTCTCCCAGGCGCATAGACCCAAGACATAAGGACACTTGCCGCAGGAGCATGACCGCCGTGCTCCCTCCACTTCTTCCCTTCGCTTCTCCATGATTATTCCGTGCACCCGCGGCTGATAGGCGATTTGCATTTGTGTCTGGACACTGCCAAGTCACATTGGCCATCTCGGGCCCGACTGCAACCGCATTCCCGTTCTTCGGCACCAACAAAGAACACGGCAGCCAGAGGCTTTCTCGTCGGCTGAGTGGCCTCGAGAGAGCGAGAGTGCCAACAACCCTGCCACCCCTGGCCTGGTAGTCCGAATCCTGCGGTGGTTGATGTGCCAGACGCAGCTGCATGGTGGTCGCCAAGGGCCGGCTCTGGCATCGATGCCACCCCTCGACCCTGGCCCTGCGCGGGCGACACTGCTGCAGAGTTTGAACCCGCTTTCACCCATCCTGGACCTGTCTGACCACCAGATCGACTTCATAAGTGGAATCACAAAAGGCGATCCATGCCCATTCTACTCGACAAGATGGCCAACGACCAAGACCCCAACACCGTCCTTCACCATACGTCCCCTCCACCATGCTCGGGCAAACCCCTCGCACATGAGCAAGTCTTCCATCGTCGACACAATCCGGGAAATCGTGGCTGCCGAGGTACCGGGCGCCTTTATCAAAAATATCCAGGCGTTACCGAGTTCTTCGCCTCGAAGAGCTTTTGCAGTCTCGTTGTCTGACGGGAGATCCTTGACAATCTACTTCTCCCCAGCTGCGACAACGAAGCTCCTTCGATTTGAGCAATCCCTCACACAATCAGAGGGCTTGCTGGTGCAGTGGCTCATGGCGGCAGCTCTAAGTTGTCCGGAGCCGGCAGAATCATGCCGCGTACGGCAGTCATCAGACATGAAGGCGGAAAGCAGCACAGGCACAAGCCCAAGCACGAAGGCCCACGCAGATGTCCCTCGAAGTGCGACACGTTCGGCGGGTAAAGATCTGTGTAGGTATCTGCCCACACTGATCTCACACTCGTCATCCTCCAAGCCAGATTTGTCCTTCAATCTGGTTGAGCCTACAAAGGGAATTCCTATCTCGGCTCTACTAAATCCTCTCGATAAGGCCGATCGTGACGGAGTCGACTGCTCCAAAGGGTCGCTAGCGAGGCGGATATCGCAATACACGTCACCGAGCGGGACATTTGGCACGGCAACCTCGGTACTTGCTCGTGTTTCACCTTCACAATCGTCACTGTCCAGGAGTCTGTCGCCAGAACCACCACACCACAACGGTGGTTTCGCTACATGGAAGACTGCCTTCCACAGTTTGTTGGAGAGTGCGCTGCGCGACGGAGAAGACATGGCTGTTAGCATCAGCTACTCGAGAATCCGCAAGCACTTCAGCCGGCTGAGCCACGTTCTGGATGCTGTCACAACACCGCGTCTGGTGGTGCTACACCCATACTCCGACGACAATGTTATAGTGTCTCTGGGAAGTGGTGCCGCTGCTCCAGCGCCCAAGGGAATAAAGACAAGAGCGCATTGTGTGATGAGTCGCGACTCTGCTGAGGCGGGCAGCCAGCATGGCGAAAAGTCCCGACCGGATCATGTGAAGTCTGAAGAAGCTGACGGTGCGGGATCTCGTGCTTCGCTTGTCGGGTTTGACGACTGGAGCAACTGCGTTTTTGGAGACCCGCTCCTAACGTCAGACTTCACCCACTTCGCAACAGAGGAATACCTGCGCGGTTTTGGGATGTCCCCAACTTCTGCACTGGGGCGCAGAATATTAGAACTCTGTGGCCAAGACGACAACCGCCATTCCCCGTCCGACAAATCCCCGTCGCCAACGGTGTCAGGCGGCCATGACTTAGTCGAGGACCCTGAGCACGCTCATATACGGATCCTTCTGTATGAGTGCTACCATGCCGTCGTGGATGTGGTAAAACAGTTCTACCGCCCGACGTCCCAAAGCACTGATCGGGAGATGGCAGCAAGGCGGCGCCTGACAAGAGTGCTCCTACGATTGGAGCAAGTGACCGAGACTGAATCCCGAAGGAAGACAGTCTCGCCAGCGCTCGCCTCTTCTCCGCCATCTCTCCCACCACTCTCACCTCCAGGAGAGACTCTGGGAGACCGCAAGTCGGCCCATAAGGACCCGGAGGGCTACAAATCTGACCACAGCAGCAAGGACTGCTCAAACTACGCTGTTGCCAGGCAGTCCCCTGTCACTGTCAAGACTGAAGAAGTAGACGGGGTAGGTTGCGACATGCAGGATCCCAAGAGGCCGCGCCGGCCCAGCGCCGACGGCGCCATACCGCGTCCTCAGAAGAAGCCGAAAGGCTCCTCGCCTACCTGAAAGAGGCGAATGATATTGGTTGCAAGCGTTGCTAGCATTGATCTTTTTTTTGTGGGTGCAAGCAGAGTCGGCGTTTTCATTCAAGCTACCCTAGGGCCCTAGGGTAGATACCAGAGTTATGATGCATTGATACCCAGACAACACGAATTATAAATTTTCACCCCTTCTGCGTCTCTCGATAGCTCCTTGGGAGTATCTTGACTTTTCGGTTCACGACTTCCTTGCTCCTGCTCCTGCTGCTGCCGCGTCTTGAGACGGAGCTGAATCATCATCATGCTTGATCAGCCTTCACTACATGGGAAAGGTTTCGTTCTGATGCCCTGCGCTCGAACGTGGTTTACATAAAATATCCACTTCTGCAGCTCGATGGAGGCCACATATCCCTCCGTCCGCATTCGCCGTT